AAGAAGAACATCCCTTATTACCCGCAGAAACTAGGTATCAGAATCACGCAGGGCAGAGCCAGGAGGGTGGATCCAGGGACCAGCAGTCGGCACTGAGAACAGGGGTGCCATCTCCTTGGAGGAGGGGTGAGGTACCCGCTTCAGGGGCACATGCGAAGTGCTGAGTGAGTGCTAGTGCCAGGCCTGTGTTTGCCCTGCCTGCCCGCCTCCTTCCACCCCGGGGGTGCAGAATGTCAGGACACCTGCTCTACCTTACTGTTTCTCTCAATCCCTGCTGAACGCAGGATGCTCCCTGAAATGGGTCTTCTGTCCAGGAGGCCGAGCTCAGGCCACAGCTCTGTGAACAGTGGTGGGTTCTGCTCTCACACAATTTCAGCTTGATCTGGGGCTGCCAACCCCCAGCCTGGGTTCTCATCCCACTGAACTTGACCACAGGCTGGTCTGGACCCCTGAAATTGGCCTGGCTCACCCGAGTTCTGCAGACTGGACCTCTGGCCCAGTCCCTGTGGCTCCCCCACCCCTGGGTCTGGCCCCACCTCATCCTGCCCCCTCCAGCCTTCCCTGCCTTTTGCTGCTCATGCATGCTCTTGGCGTGCCCACGGCTGCAGACAGGACCACAGAGCGCACTGGAATGCACCACGTTCATCCAGCGAGATGTATTCTCTCCATACCCATGCAACACAAGTGAGTACTTGTAAGGGCTTTCGGCATGACAGTGTGGGATGATGGAATGCACAGAACAGCATTTCAAAAACTGCTTAACAGAGCCTTATCCCAAGGAACATTTGGAGGCAGAACAGAGGGGGGCTATTGAAACAGGCTGCTTTCCTGCAGAATTTGTAAGAGACTTTCATATTTCACGAAGAGGAAGCTAGAAGGAGTCCCCACACATATCCGTGAAGATATTTTTCAAGAGCTCTCTCACAGGAGAAACCTGAGCAACTACGATATTCCAAAGCTGGAAAAGAAGCAGGCAGAGGAGGAAGGGCCAGGGCGCCCCTTAATACTCAGTGGAGTGCACATTTGGGAGCGGGTCCCGCCCAGCATGCAGATGTGTTTGGTTTGGCTCTGAATGTCTGACTTGGTTGCCAACATTTAAAACTTGGGAGACCTCACATAAAAATTTGGATTTCTGGCTTCTCTTAAAAGCCGGCCATGCTGGGTCTGTGATCCCTCCGGGTAAGTCTGGAAGGAGGGTGCAAGGCTGCTTTCTCGAGAGAAAACTGAGCTTTTGGGGCTGCCCTCTGTGGCCGCTCACCCTCATTATCTGCTTGGTCCCTGTGAGCCTTTGAGTTGGCAACCCCAGCTTTCTACCTGCTTCTCCGTCACCCTGAGCTTGATGGAAAATCACATTGGAAATAAACATGTGATACACCACACCACAGTCTCTGAGTCAGTCTAACTTGTCAGTGGAGAGCACTCCAGCAAAAGAAACTTCTCAGGTGTTCCCAGACTCAATACAGATGTCGGGGGCGTTGACCTATATACAATGGCAAGCATTTCTCTGACTCCAGCAGGATGTCCAAGAATTCAACTCATTTCTGACCCTACGGACCCAGAGACACCATCCGACCCATAGGTTGGAGGGCTCAGTCCCACCTGGCTGCTCCCCACCCCCACCCTTGAGACCCCAGCCTCCTGTTTCTGACCACCGACCACTACAGAACAGAGGATCCAACACCTTCCTCCTTAGGTTCAATTAATTTGCCAGGATGACTCACAGAACTCAGAGAAAGGCTTGGGTTGACCAGGTTCTTAAAGGACATCAGAAGGGATATGAATCAATAGCCAGAAAAAGAGGTGCATAAGGAGAGGTGCGGGCAGGGTCTCCATGCTTCTCCAGCCAGAAGCCACTCTCCCCAACCTGCTCATGCTCATCAACCCAGAAGCTCTCCAATGCAGTCCTTTGGGGGTTTTATGGAGGCTTCATAGCATCATCATGATTGAGGAAGTCCCTGGCCATTGGCTTTTTACCTCCAGCCTTTTTTCCCTCCCAGGATGGTCAGGGAGTGGAGCTGAAAGTTCTCCCTTTTAGTCACTTGGTTGGCTCCCTTGGCAACCAGCCCCCACCCAAGGGTGCTTTCCAAAAGGCATCTCATTAACATAATAAAAGACCTTTATCACTCTCAACACTCAGGAAATTCCAAGGTTTTTGGGAGCTGTGAGCCAGAAACTGTGGATGAAGACCAATATTTATGAGACATATGTTTTGGTCATTTGGATGACCAAATAGATATTTCTTATGAATCACAATATTGCACTAACTATGGTCATTCCATGAAAAGTCCTAGGCAGAGGGGGATCCCAACTCTGTGACAGATAGTGGGCAGCACAGACAGGGCTGGGGGGCTCAGAGGCTATCTTCATCCTCGTTAGACTGCTGGGCTGTTGGAAGCCCAGAGAATTCTGGGTGCCCCATTTCCTAAACTAACAGTAGTAACTTTGACAACGTATCCTATTTGATACACAGGCAATGTGTACTGAGCCACGCACACTGGGCTTTTATAGGCTTACCACACCTCTGAGAGGTAGGGGGCATCATCTGTGCATGCATAAGCAAATGCACAAGGCTCTGCAAAGTCATGAGGACTCTCAAAGACTAGGCAACTACTTAGTGCTGGGGGACCCACTGTGGGTCGGTCAGAGCCCCCTCCCTCCCCGCCTTGCTACTCTCAAATTCCATGGCACCCCAGAGATTAGGGCAGAAAAACATGCCCTACTCCCTGCTGGGATAAAGCAGCAAATTCCAAAGACTCCATGATTATCCTGGCTGTGGCCACAGGCAACATTAACTCTCATATTTGGATAGAAGTCAGCAAGATTTTACATCAGGGGTCAGTGCCAGCAAAGCAAACGATGACTAACATGAGCATCCCGAGGGGCCAGAATTAAAAATGTCTGATTAGCTTCAGATGTAGAGCTCGGGGTGTGGAATCTCCATGCAAACTCACAGAACAGAGCTGGGGATTACTGTAGAAAGTGATTTTTTTTTTTAATGTTTAATGGATGAAGAAGGAAATACCATAATTTTTCTCGGCTCTCATAGATGCAAACAGCTCAGG